ATCCCATGTGCTATATATGGGCCTGTTTGTTTTAAGTTAGCGACTGAGAAGATTAAACAAAATGATAACATCTCGCGACATTTGTCTTCTTCCTGTTTTGATGAAATGGATAAAGGGAACTCATTGCTTCAAAGTCTTATCATTGTTTGGTGATAGGCAACTTTGCTATCGTCTGGTTCAATACCACGCCTAACCTAGTGGGGCCCTATGCAGTTCACTGCTCCAGGTCCCCGGGCTCAGATTACCGGTTTTCATCACTGGACAGCAGGCCTTCGCGACTACGAGGAAAGCCCCGTCTGCTGTGCATCATTCAAATTTGTCGTTAAAACCACATGCATATTCCACCGGGAAATATTGCTGGGTGTATCAACATACTCCGGGAATCGACCGCATACGGAAAAGAAGAGCAAACACGCGTGTTTTTGGTCTCCTTCTCTCACTGGACACGTGAAGTTTGCGACAATCCTTTATGGATTCTCACACTTCGATTGTGACATCGTATGACATAAAACTGGCCTAAAAGTCTCTTAGGAACGTGATAGGGATGCCACAGAAGTTGAACATGTCCTTCATTTATGTTTTGCGATTTCGTGTTGCTAATCCTATCCCAGACAATCGATCTCAGTCGGGTGTGTTTTCAACTCACTCCCAAATGCATATTCGTTTGATATCACCCAACCAGCGTAACTCAGGTGAGTCATCCCTTGACTCTTTTCCGAAGCAAGTGAAGTAAAAGAGGGACAGAGTTGGGCATGGTGCGTATTTCTCACGTTCTGGTTGGCAGACAGTAAGTAGTAAGTCGACTTTTCGGTCCGTGCAAGTAACTTTACTCAAATCAGTAGAACAGTTATCAATTTGTTGGTATCGACTTCATTTGTACATCAGGCAAAGTGAGAATAGAAAGAAACTACGGTGGGCCTGGCGAACAGTCTGTTCACTTGTCTCGTTGCCATGCCTACCAAGATTGAATGAGTCACAGTTTGGTTTGTTGTTCCGTACTGAATCTCGTTTTGTTTTGTACGGGGCTTATCATAGTTGTGATCGTCCGATGTCAACCCAATGGATCACCAGGCCAACCGTTTGGCGTAATCCATACAGTGTGAAGTGTCGATATTGAACCCACGCATCATAACACACGTTTCATCTCCCGTTTTCACAGTCGTGATGGTTTTGATTGCCGTTCTTCTAACACCTATTTGATCGAGTGCTGAGGAAAGAGTAAATGCAGAAGGTGAAGGTTGTAAGCATTATCTGTACCTCAATCGGTCCCCTAGCTAAAACGTCAACGGTCTAACGCCTAATCCAGTTGATCAACGAAGGTATTGTAACTACAGCTGTGTCCTGTTACAGAATACAACACGGTTGGCTGGTAACTGTAGCAGTTGGGGAGAGTGGTCTCCATATTCTTGACGCACACTTTGGCTTCTGATTGCATGTTGTATCAAAAGGTAAATTCGATCTATATGCTACTAAAAAACATCATGAGCATGAACACAGCAAGTTTGTTGTGCATCAATGGATAGCCCATGGATTAACTAACTGAACTCACACTGGTCATAATTTTATGGCTGAATAGTCAATCGCCAACTTTACCCGTTTCATATACATTGTTTCCAATCCACAGTGCATTGAAATGACAGTATATATATATATATATATATATATATATATATATATATATATATATATATACT